AGAAAGTGTTGCAGTTAACAAGTGTGTCCATTCTTCAGGACGTTGAGGGGTGGAGTCTTATCAGGAATATTACATCGTAACATATTCACTTCCTGTACAAGATTAGACTTGTTTTTCCTTCTCATGGGTTGTCTTCTTTTTTTTTTTCTTAATTCCAAGCTCACATTTATGTGCTAAAACAGTGATGTGTAGGTACTATGAGAGGAATGACAGTACTTCTAATTTGTTTTGCACTATGCACTTTTTAAAAAAGATTTCCACATTTATTATCCTTTGATTCCCTGCACCTCATCTTCAGAGCACCTATCCTGAGGTAGCTGCTGTTGCCTCCACTTCAGGAAGACTGAGATCGACCGAGCTTACACGGCTGTGTAGTGGCAGCCTCTGCGCTTACACACAGGCCTCTTGCCACACCACATACAGGTAGCCTCCCAGTAATGACCTGCTGAAAAAATTCACAGATACTTACTTGAGTGTTCGTTTGTACTTGGCAAAGTTTTAGGCATTAGATGAGAAACGAATGTGAAGTTTCCTTTGAGGACATAACATGTAACACTGTTTGTAAGTGGTACACCACTCATTACTTGGACCATAGAACATATAGAACGGAGGCCTAGAGAAGCCTGGACTGTGTAAGAGGCTACGAGTGTGTTTGGATTCGTGGGCAGTGTAGATCAGTGGGGGCTGGGATATTCAAGGAAGGCTTTCTAGCCCAAGATGGATGGATAGAGTTTACATAGGCAGGGAGTAAACAGGGGGGGTGCTTTCTAGATGAAGGGAACTACTGAAGTAATTTCAGACAGGTTTAAGCATGATGATTAAGGGTATTTGGTGATGTCCAGCCTGCAAGAAAGGTACATGTTGGAGAACAGTGGATGCAAAAGCCTTATAGGTACAGAGGAGCGAATTATGAAGGACTTGGCAAGCCAGGTAAGTGTTTAGATTGGGTGGAGTAGCCAAAAGAGAGTCATCCGAAGTTGCTGAGTAAGAGTCCAGGTATGACTAAGGGTAATTTTGAAATCAGATGCAGAGGTACATGGAGTGAGGTACGGATGTAATGAGGACGTAATGTGCTTGTGAAGAATAGGTGCTTTGAATTATTTGAGAAGAGACAGAACTCTACCAAATTTGCAACTTTAGGATCTGCTCGCTCATTCAGCGAGAATTTGTTCATGCCAGTTCTGTGCAAGGTGCTGCGGGGGGTGTGCCCTAAAGGGGTTGATGGTGTGGGAAGGGGCGTACGCAATACAGACAGATAATTGTAGTGCTGAAGAAATGTGCTGAGACATTAAGAGAAGTATAGATGCAGTGCTCTGTGAGAATATTTTCAGCTCAGAGCAGTGCTGTCCAATAGACACAGGATGTGAGTCCCACATAATTTAAAATTATCTGGTAACTGCATTTTAAAAATGGGGGAAAAGGATGAAATCAATTTTCGTAATTAAAAAAAATTTAACTCCAGGGATTTCCCTGGTGGTCCAGTGGTTGGGACGCGGCGCTTTCACTGCATGGCCCAGGTTCGATCCCTGGTTGGAGAGCTAGAATCCCGCAAGCTGCGCAGTGTGGCCCCCCGCCCCCCAACAAAAAAATTAACTCCGTATATCCAAGACGTTTCCGTTTTAACGTGTGGCCAGTGGCTGTCTGATTAGACAGCTTAGGTTAAGCGGCCTAAGAAAGGTTTCATAGAGGGGATGCCATCTGAGCCGTGCTCTGAAGAATTTTATATGCAGAATAAACGGGAAAGGACATTCCAGGCAGAGGGATGGCTTGGTGAGCACAGACGCAGAGACGGAGAAGCACGTGTAAGAAAACCATTTTGGGAGAAGCACCTGCTGTGCAGAAGGCATGTTTTGGGAGAAGCCTGGGGAGATAGCTTGGAAAACCTTCACTGACAGGGGAGGAAATCTGACTCTCCTGTCAGTAGTAGGGAACTGTGAAGGATTTTGAGCAGGACGTGACTTGATCAGAACTTTAAAATGGGTCTGAGAGCAGATGTGAAGGTTAAAGGTAACGAGAGGCTGAAAGCAGTGGGACTAGGGAAAG